CGACGCGGAACACTATGAAATAGCGGCGTTCTGGAGGGAGAAGGTGCGCCAGTACCCAGTGTTAATATCGTCCGGAGAATTTTGAATAAACGAAGCTCTCCGAAGTGTGCAATAAAATAAATAACAATAGGAACATAGATTGGGAAATTGAAAGTGAACGAGACAGCTTGATTTGTGTTAAAAATATTGTGGGTTTATGTATTTTTGGATGCTTGTGTCTGAGCATGCGGTGCGGGTGCACCAGCCCCGTGCGGTGACAGTATATCGCACAGATTTCAGAACTGTTCAACGCTATCGAACATAACAGTGACAGAAGAAATTAGGGAGGGAAAGGGGTTGTTTGGCTTCTGGTGAAAAGGATTGGGTGGTTTTTATATAGTGTGTTGATTGTGTGGGTACGAGGCTTAATTGGAGAATTGCCCGGTATGAGAGAATCATTGTGGCTGGCGGTGTCACAGTACCACTGCATTGTCCATTTTCTTCTATTGTGTTCGAAGGCTCATCACTAACAGAAGCATCCTTAGGGGATGGACGACGAATGAGTTCTATTGGGGAAACAGTGCGCTCCGTGTGACCGCGTGGACTGAGGCGCCGCTTCATGAATGGATGAGGAATTGCTTCCGCGTGTGGCTCTTTGGGTGATTGTTCGCTCGCTGTGCGTTGTGTGTTTTCTGCGGGGCTGTGGCCGTATCCCGTTGGCCGTGGGATTGAGCTGGAGGCGGTGGCGGTGTGTCTCTTCTCGTCCATTGGTGGGTGACTGCTGGCGGTGTGTGCGTTTGTTGTGTGGAGGACCAAATCCTTCCACGCGCGGTCTGGCAGCACTGCAATGGTATGTGTGTGTGTGTGTGAGGGCTGGTGTAGGCGATGGTGCTCCCCGCTGTTCCCTCCGGATTCTCTTGTGTCCCGCTCTTTGCATGGGTGCTCTGCTTTGCTCCCCGCGGACGTGTCCGATGTATTGCCGCCTTTTTCTTTCTCCACTTGTTGAGCACAGACACACGCTAGGAAGGAAAGCAAACAAACGCAAAACGCTACTGTGAAATTCTAAGACTCTAAAAGGACAAACAGCAGCACACACACACACCGCCCACACACACATATTTACATGCTCTCACGTGTTGCTGCAGTGAAGGCACCCCGCACACACAGTTGTCGCCGCGTGACCGCATCCAGCGGGAGGAGGAGGGAAGGAAGGGGGAAGGGAAGGCCGTTGATCCCTTTTAGGGAACGAAACCGGCGCCTATAAATGGCAAGAAATGACTGGATGTGAGACGGCAGCCGGCTCGCTTCGTGTTCCCAGCCTTGCTGAGGTGGCCGGCGGTGTGTTTGCCGTTGCTGAAGCTCAGTGCAGTGAAAGGGACGGAGCCTGCGGCCATGCTGCGATTGCATCAACGCACATTGAGACGGGCGGTGGTGGCTCAAAGGCGATCTCGGCGATGGATGCAGGCGTGTTTCTCGTAGAACCTGTGGATTCCGCCAGTGGTACGATCAGGGCACAAGAAAAGATGCCGCCAACGACAATTGTGAGCGGCGACAGTATCTACATGGCCCTTGTGGACTACGAGAAGAAGACGTCTGGGGGTCAGGCTGCCGATGCAGATGGCTGGAGGCTTTTACTGACGAGGGGAACTTTCACTGAGGATGGTGGGCAGAAGAAAATCATGTGGGGTGATATCCGTGCGGTGGACCCTGTGGCCATCGGGCTTACTCAATTCCTGGAGAGGGTGATCGGTGGCGGAGGATCGGTTATTGTGACGAAGAACGGTTACCTTATGCTTCCCATGCAGGCAGTAGAAAAGGATGGAAGGAGTGTTGTGCTGTCCATGCGTTTCAAAACACATATGGAAGCATGGGAGCTCTCTTCCGGTACGACAGGTATTAACTGCAAGGAACCATCCATCGCGAATTTGGAAGGAAATGGAATTTTGATTACTTCTTGCGCTGCCGGCTAATACAAATTATTTAGGTCCATTGACTCTGGGATACGTTGGGACATGAGTGGTAGGCCAATTACTCGCGTGTGGGGCAACTCGTATGGTCGAAAAGGGTATGGCGTTTGCTGTGGCCTCACCACCGTAACCATTGAGGGAAGGGAAGTGCTGCTTGTTACCACGCCGGTGTAATTGGAGGAGAAAAAAGGTAGGGATCGGCTTCATCTTTGGGTGAGGGAAGGTGCACGTGTGCATGATGCTGGGCCGATATCCGATGCAGCTGATGACGCTGCTGCCAGTTCCCTGTTGTATAGCAGTGGGGGCGATCTGATTTCGCTGTACGAGAATAAGAGTGAGGGGTCATACGGTCTTGTTGCTGTGCACGTGACTACGCAGCTGGAGCGGATAAAGACTGTGGTGAAGAGGTGGCAGGAGTTGGATGAAGCCCTAAGAACGTGCAGACCCACTGCCACTATCGACCCGGTGAAAAGGGGCATGTGTATTCGTCCCATTCTTACTGACGGGCTTGTTGGCTATTTGTCTGGTCTGTCAACTGGGAGTGAGTGGATGGACGAGTACCTCTGCGTGAACGCGACTGTTCATGGGACGGTGAGAGGGTTCTCCAATGGAGTGACGTTTGAAGGACCCGGAGCAGGGGCGGGGTGGCCTGTTGCCCGAAGTGGACAGAATCAACCGTACCATTTTGTACACAAAAGGTTCATCACTCTAGTGGTGATGGCGGTCATCCACGATGAGCCGAAGAAACGCACCCCCATTCCTTTGATTCGTGTGGTGATGGATGACAAGGACAAGACTGTGCTATTTGGTGTGTTTTGCACCCATGATGGGAGGTGGATGACTGTAATTCATAGTGGCGGTAGACAAATACTTTCAACGGGGTGGGACCCAGGAAAACCGTGTCAGGTGATGCTGCGACACGACACGGGCAATTGGGATTTGTACATTAACGCGAGGGAGGCTTACTTTGGCACCTACAAGGGGTCTCTTCTCCAAACAAACAGTATTTCACACATCCAATTCCACGGGGAGAGTGGGGAAGTTGGAGAATCCAGCCATTTGTCACTCTTCAACGCCCGTTTGTATAACCGAAGACTCAATTCCAAGCATATGAGATGGCTCATGGTAGGCGAGGCAGGTCCAAAATACGATGATAGCAGATCCTATTCTGCGAGTTCATCTGAGGAAGGAAGCAGAGGCGACAGCTCTAATTTTGAGAGTTCATCGCGGGTGGAAAGTGAAGAGGTGAGCTTAGTGCATGAGAATGTGTCATGGGTGCTGTTACTTCTGCTGGGGCTTTGGGGTTTTGCGGCTTTTTACTGATATTAAAACGGCTTTGTTGCTGTCTCCAGCGGTACAGTGTATATTTACATTCTGATGTTTTTACATATTTTATTGCTGTTGTTGGCGGATTTATAAAATTTTTTATTTTATTTTTTATTTTTATTTTTGTATGTATGACTTTATATGAACTTTATTTTTTTTTTGTATTCCAATCATATTTGTTATTATTATTATTTTGTGTTGATGTGTTTTTAATGGCTTTGATAATAATAAATAATAATAATAATAATAGTGTTTACTGACTGATGCCGTCCAGAAATTATGATGGATGCTGTATGCGATCTACATAACGCCGGATGAATGTCGAGGGGACAAGCCTTTTAAAAATATGGCAGGTGGGTCGAGTGGTGCATGACGTTATGCAGTGAAATATAAATGAGGCGTGTTCATATCGTGAAGGGGAGAGGGGGGATTGAAAACGACTTAAACTGTATATATATACGTACGTATGTATGTTTGCTTTCTTTGTGTATGTATGCTCTCTGTATTCATGTATGTATATGTGTCTTTATTCAGGCATAATACAAAGGCACTGCTGTGGGATATTGTATGGAAGATATTACATGACATTTTTTTGTGTTTATTTATTTTTTTTGTAAAATAATAATCATAAAAGTAATAATGATACTTATTATTATTATTATACAATTTTATACATTTAACGATCTGCGTGAAAATTGCGCTGAGTTCGTAGTTTTTTTTTTTCTTCCGTACTTGTTCTTTTATTTGTTCGCTGCTTGGGCTGCTATGCAGGCTTGAGTTGTACCACATATATATATATATATATATTGAATTTTTTTTTTGTGACCTCTGCGGTACTTATGTGCGTATTTGCTTCTTGGCATGGCCGCCTTTTCTTTTTTTGCCTTCACGTCTCTGTAGACATACAACTACCCTCGCACGACACGTATAACGTTTTATTTTACGTGGATGGTCCTAACTTGCCGGCAATTGCATGTGGGTGCTGCGTTCTTCTGCGGCTACGAAAGGGGAACATGAGAGGGCGGTGCGCATGATTTCATGGGACATGGCGTGACGCCGTTGGAGGGCTCCGTGAGGCGTCCGCGGTTTTACGGGGGAAGAAGAAAATTAACCCGCTGGAATAGCTGCCGCCGAGCCCGTTCTTGCTGGACGAGTTGAAGCGCGAGTACAGCCATTCGGACACCCGCACGGTTGCTGCGCCGTACTTCTTCCAGCACTAAGATGCCGCCGGCTGCAAGACTTTGCGGTGCCGCCACAAATACAAGGAGGAGAACAACATGCAGCGCATGGTGCACGTGTGTGAGTTGCGTGGCGGTGGCATGCCGTATGCTTTGGAAGAAGTGGATGACACGGAGCTGTTGGACTGCGGGAGGAGGTGGCGGACGCAGTGGGAGAGGATGACGGGCTACGCGTGCTGCGGGTGAGCGCGGCATGCCGGTGAGTTTTTCTAAAGAGGGAGTAACGCTGACGGTAATAGTGACTGTGAGGGTGTGAGGAAGGGGGGAATCGATCAGCACTCCTCTCGTTGGTGTTGTGGTGGTGCGTGACTCTCATTGCTGGACGGGACGATGCGTTGTTCCAGTGATTTGTCTCTTCTTTTGCTCTGCGTTGACGGGGAGTTAGTTTGTGCTGAAGGCTGCACGCAAGTGACAGGAGTGATGGCGATGATGATGGTTGGCCGTGTGCTGCTGGTGTGTGCCCTCTGCGTGCTGTGGTGCGGTGTCTGCAATGGTGATGGCGGAGGCCAATGTCGATAAAGGTACCGAAATGAAAAAAGATAAAAAATTTGACAGTTCAGAGCTTGTTGCTGGTATTGTTAGTGCTGAACAATATGTAACGCAGGATTCAGTCAAGGAAGGTTCCGAAAACGGTAATCAGTCTTTGGGTGTAAAAACGGGAAATGGCATCAACCAGGATAATGGTGTGATCATAGCATCACCAGCAAGCACAGTGAGAGGGAAAGAGGAAGAAGAAGAAACCGAAGAAATTGAGGAACTCAAAAGTTCAATTGAAGGCGAAGAAACATCCCAATTAACATTGACGCAAGAAGGAGTACCACCACCATTGGAACCATTAACAACGACACTGAATGGAAACCCAGCAAGAACTTTAAATGCAACACCAGCGAAAGGACAGTCCAGCTCTGATGACGGCTCTGCCCAGGAAGAAGGACTCAAATCACCAACACTAAAAGCACCTGCAGCACCAGCAGCAGCGGCAGAAACAACAACACAAACAAAAGATGAAAACCCCTTCCTTGCAGATGACCCTTTAGTGCAACATGTAGAAGCATCTCAACACGACATGGAGTCAAGAAGTGCCTCACGAAAAGAAGGAACCATCCCAACCACAGTCACCAAAACAGACGAACCAACAGAAGTTAACGCCGAATCAACTCCAACATCACCCTCAGATTTCAGAGGTGCCATTACAAATGACGCTGACAAAGGAAATGAAGAAAGTATTCCAAAACATGATCAAGCACCTGATGGTGAAGCGAATAAATAAGCACAACAAGGTGAAAATAAAGAAGAAAATACAAATAAAACAGCAACTCTCGAAGCCGCAGCTATAACAAATGATACTGCGACTACTGGCGACAGTGACGGCAGCACCGCTGTCTCCCACACCACCTCCCCTCTTTTGCTTCTTCTTATTGTTGCGTGTGCGGCTGCGGCTGCAGTGGTGGACGCGTGAGAGTGAGGGAGAGAGAGCCGTGCACCGCCCGCACACACACTCGTCTTTCACCCACTCTCTGTGTGTGTCCCCTTGCATGGACTCTCGCCCTCACCTCATCCCACGAGGCACACACATAATGTGCCCATTGTATATATGCATGCACACCCATGCAGGCCCGTTGGTGCTCTCTTTTGCACGACACGCACCGCTGCCGTCCTGCCTGGCTGCATGGGCGGAGCACCGTAACTGTTTCTGTT